ACTGACCTCATCACATACAGACACACACACACACACGCACACACACACACTGACCTCATCGCACACACACACACACACACACACACACACACACACACACACACACACACACACACATCAGCAGGACATGTTCAACAAAGACAAAGTGAAGGAGTTTGGATCAGAGTGGCACGCGGGAGGACTTTGCTGAGACGTAGATGTTTTATATTTGAGGATGAGTGCTTTTTAATGACGTGAGGAACATGGCTGTGGCTGTGCTGTGATTCCAGAGCTGATGTTACAAGTTGTGACACGGTGACTAAAGAGCGGGCAGCTTTGGAAATCTTCGGAGTGCCGAAACTAAGCTTGGTATTAGTTTCAGTATGATGACAAAGAGTTACTTTTTTAACACTTTACTTTTGACAAATACATTTCTTTTTATCATTTCGCAAATGTTAAAACAAGCACAAGCTGCTCTTCAAAAATGTTCTCTAAATACAATTGTGTGAAAAAGCCTTTTTTTGTTTCCATTAGGAACTGTTCAAAGAATAAGTGAACATGATTCTAAATCGGAGTGGTGTGGCAGCTTTTTGAAGCTCTCTTGAAAGGTTTCAAACTCAGTCATTACATTTCTGTAACTTTGAGTGGCTCTCAAACACTCGTGCTCCAGTCAGTGTGACGGAGACTGTCCTCACATGCCTTCTAAGATATCCAGAAACGACTCGTCAACAACAACAACAACAACAACAACAACGCAAACTTCAGCGCAGACAGGCAGGCTTCATCTGAGAAGGAAACAACTTCTCTTTCCTCCATTTCCCCCTTATCTGCCTGTCCCTGTGTGTGTGTGTGTGTGTGTGTGTGTGTGTGTGAGTGCATCAAGACGAGCTGGAGTTTAATTCATCACAACCATGTAAAGATATTTAATGAATTTACAGCTGAGACAAAAACACATTTCAACCGTTCTATGTTTCTGCTAATTAGTTTTAAAGTATTGCATATATTTATTTTGTTTATGTTTGTTTTTATTTAACCAATTTTTAAATATATATCTTGGAGACTTTTCTCGTCATCTTAACTATTGAAAGCATAAAAAATAAATGAAGTGTTATGATAATAACATTTATCAGATATTTATTTGTTATAAATGTGGGTGATCTGAATTTGTTGTATTAGTTGTTAAATATCAAATAATAAAAAATAAATATTTAAATACTAAAACAGGATTGTAAAGCAAAGAGAATCTTCAAAATACACTTAAAATATGATGAAACCATCATGTTGGCATGTGGTGTGTGTTATTCCTCACACAGTTCATGCTCCTCTCACAGGTTGCCTTTTTCGTGTGTGTGTGTGTGTGTGTGTGTGTGTGTGTGTGTGTGTGTGTGTGTGTGTGTGTGTGTGTGTGTGTGTGTGTGTGTGTGTGTGTGTGTGTGTGTGTGTGTGTGTGTGTGTGTGTGTGTGTGTGTGTGTGTGTATACTGGCCCTCAGTGGCTTTTCTGTGACACACACATGTCCGTCTCTTTATTCATGTTCTTACTCCGTGTTTCCTCGTTCTACCTCCAACTCTGGGGCTCTCTGTTCTTCTTTAGTTCTGCATGGCCCGGGGGCGCACACACACACACACACACACACACACACACACACACACACACACACACACACACACACACACACACACACACACACACACACACAGACACACACAGACAGACAGACAGACACACACACTCTCAAACACAGACACACACACACTTTCAAAGACAGACACACACACACACACACACACACACACACACACACACACACACACACACACACACACACACACACACA